GGCCACTGGAAAAACCCGGCGTCTGCCCCCATAAAGCCGCTGCCAGGCGCCGGACCTCGCTGATTTGCTCCTACCAAGCCGACAACGCCAAATCTGTCATGTATAGAATTAATTCAGAGGGAGAATCACTGCAGTGCCAATCATCATTTATTGTAACAAAAGGTTTTGGAGGGCGAGACACAGGATCACCTTGATTTGGGCCTCTGCAGAGGTTCGGAGTCAGTCAGGTTAGTCTTCTCAGGTCCTCACATACACCCACACTCTCTACCTGATCAGCTCTGCAGCTAACTATATGGCTATTTCCCAACTTCCTGCAATTGTCCAGATCTTGACGTCCAACGGGCCCCCACCCTAGTTACACTTCTCTATTCTGGGAACCCCCTACAGCCTGTACTGAAAAACAGGAAGTCTGACGCCCAACATTCTTACAAAAGAGCAGAGAGGTCATCTCTGACCATACTACATATTATACTTAACTAACATTGGCCTATCAATTATGCTAATAACTATTAACTATATTCAGTTTGCTTTTACCACTACAGTCCTAACTTTATCAATGAAATATCTCTGAAAGTAATTGCATAAGGGAGCTGATCCCTCGGTGGGCAAGGCGCCAGCAGGATTAATGACTGAGTCCATGGTTTTGAAAAGAACTCTTGGCTGCTGGCCGCTTTTTGAAATAATGTTAGACAAATATTGAGTTTTCGCGTCCTTTACAGCCTCTTGGTATAACCGGAGGCTGTCTCTTAAACAGCCTAGGGAGACGTGCATGCCATCCTTTTTCCATTTACGCTCCCCCTGCCTACAACGTCTCTGTAGAGTTCAAGTATCTTGGGGTCTTGTTCATGAGGGAAGGATGGACAGGCGGATTGGTGCAGCTTCTGCAGTAATGCATTCGATGTACCGGTCTGTCATGGTGAAGAAGGAGCTGAGCTGTAAGGCGACGCTCTCGATTTACTGGTCAATCTATGTTCCGACTCTCACCTATGGTCATGAGCTTTGGGTCATGACCGAAAGGGCAAGATCCTGGATACAGG